TGGGATTGTTCCTAAGAAGGTATATGTTGGAGGTATTCCTTATCAGAGTACAGAAGATGAGATTCGTAGCTACTTCAGAAGCTGTGGTGTCATCACAAAGCTTGACTGCAAGATGCGTCCTGAAGATGGCACATTTAGTGGGATTGCTTTCATCACTTTCGAAGTAAGAGTTTTCAATGCAACATTACTGTTTCTCTTGCGTTTGGATTCATTTTTTAATTGTGTAGGACATTGGTATAGTGGAACAATTTGTTTTGTTAAGAACTTCGTTTTTGCCTTGTGTGTGGCTGGAGAGAAGACTGTGTATTAGACTGTAGCTGTATTGACATTCTTTTTATCGGGTTCTCTTTAACAGACTGAAGATGGCGCTAATCGTGCTTTGGCTTTTGATAGAGCTGCAATGTAAGTAATTCTATAGTCGTGACTGAAATATGTTTTAGGACTTCTTTGTTCACAATTGATATTGGTTGAGTAATCGTTTTAACGTTACTTCCAGGGGTGATCGATATTTGACAATCCAGCAATACGTGAAAACCACCCCTTCGATTCCCAGGAAAAGAACGTCTTCTGGCTTCGTTCCTGAAATGGTGGATGGTTATAACAGGGTATACATTGGGAATTTAGCCTGGGACACAACAGAGCGCGACATACGTAAACTCTTCTCTGACTGCCTAATAACCTCAGTGCGGTTGGGCAAAAACAAAGAAACAGGGGAGTTTAAAGGGTTTGCGCATGTGGATTTCAAGGATAGCGTGTCTCTGGCGATGGCGCTGAAGCTGGATCAGCAGGTTATCTGCGGAAGACCTGTCAAGATTTGTTGTGCCCTGAAAGAGAGACCAGCAGGCGATAATAGTACTAATCCTACACCTGATGAAACGAACAATGTTGATTCGTACAACATGGAAGAGGCTTTAGCTGTGCCGATTGAAGTTAATAATGGAAACTACTTTACAACCACGGTTACCACCGGTAAGATCAAAAGGAGGTCCTGTTATGAGTGTGGAGAAAAGGGTCATCTTTCTACAGCCTGTCCGAAGAAGCTTCAAAATGCTCATGAACAGGCAAACGCAAAGCTTGATCAAGAAACTGTTAATGCAAGACCGGTTATGCTAAGCACTTATGATCTTCCAAACAACAATGGTGGTTCTTACATGAATGAGACATATGCTGCAACAAACGAAGCTAATAACGGAAGCTTAGCATCCGCAGTTAGCATCAGCAAGATCAAAAGGAGGTCCTGTTATGAGTGTGGAGAAAAGGGTCATCTTTCTACGGCCTGTCCGAAGAAGCTTCAAAATGCTCATGTACAGGCAAACGCGAAGCTGGATCAAGAAACTGTTAATGCAAGACCGGTTATGCTAAGCACCTATGATCTTCCAAACAACAATGGTGGTTCTTACATGAATGAGACATATGCTGCAACAAACGAAGCTAATAACGGAAGCTTAGCATCCGCAGTTAGCATCAGTAAGATCAAAAGGAGGTCCTGCTACGAGTGTGGAGAAAAGGGTCACCTTTCTACAGCTTGTCCCAAGAAGCTTCAAAACACTGATCACACAAACTCAAAGCTGGATCACAACACTGTTGATGCAGGACGAAGTCAACATACAAGCTACGCTCTTCAAAAGGAATCAGGAGATACTGAGAAGAATGGCGGTTCCTACATGAAAGAAACATATGGTACTGATCCGATATCCGTTGCTGCCACAGAAGAAGCTAATGACGAAAACTTAGCATCCGCGGTTAGCATTAGGAAGATCAAAAGGAGAGTATGTTACGAATGTGGAGAAAAGGGTCATCTTTCTTCAGCTTGTCCTATGAAGCAGCAAAAATAGGGATTGATCCCTACAAGCTCTACAAAAAAAACATTGTAACCATATGTTTAATTTTTACATTTAAAAGAAGAAGGTAAGTGGAGAGTTTCGGTCCTCTGTTATCTATTGTTTTATGATCTCATAGAAATGCATCTAAACCAAAAGCTACATTTTCCATAAATTTTATGGTGGCTTTGTTACAATGTTTCTTTTTTTTAACAATTTAATTTATAATATTTCAGTTATTATTTTTGATATATTCAAAGTCTATCATGTTGATCAAATTCATTTATATTGTTGATTAAATCTCTTTAAATTTTAACCCATGATTCATATGTCTCCAAAATTCTAAAAATTAATTTTTGCAAATCATCATATCACATTGATGATTTACCCAAAA